TTAAAGGATGTGCTCTTATTTAAACTCACTACTTGTTTGATGGAAATTCTAGCCTATTGTGATCATTTCGACCCCATGGGTTGAGGGGAGTTTGTTCAATGCCAATCATTTTGCTTATTAAATAATAAATAAACAAACTGATCATCCTTAGAGTTTTGGTTGCAAAGCTCTTGAAATGCTGAAGTGTAAGTACTTGTGTTTTATTGGGGGCGGGGGGGGAAAATCAACCACATTTCAGTTACCTACAACCCACACCCAACTTAATCTGGGTGTCTTCCTGAGAAAAATGGCTGTAATGCACAGTACTTTGCAACCAACAATAAAATGCCATCCGACGAGCCACATCTGGAGAAACACCATGCACCTGCTCCAAGCACCAACCTGAATTCCATCCTAACACACAGCAGGCTGTGGGCAGTTAAGAAGACAATTCTCCACAAATTCTGATGCAACAGTGGCCTCTACTGGTGATCAGAAGTAGGCAAGTGAGCAGAATAAAAGGCAAAAGAAAGCAAAATCTATGAAACAAGTGAAGGTGCCAGGTGGTAAGCACAGCAAAGTTTAACATCCTTGCAGAAGCAGAAACATCACGAGTGCGTTTCACTGAGGGAGCAATACCAAACAACCTCCAAGAACATGCCAGACCTTCCTCCACCAAGCTGGGATAAGCTGGGATGCACTTGTTCTTTCTAAGTGTTGACACAGGCACCACTGAAAAGTCTCTTCTGTACCAACTGATTCAATGATTCGATACCTTCTCCAAAAATCTGGCAGTGTCATTTCATAGAAATATTTTTAAAGTTTTAATTAATTCACAGGATGTGGGTATCACTGGCTATGCCAGCATTTATTACTCATCCATATTGCCCTTGAGGTGGTGGTGAGCTGCTAGGGGTTGTTCATGTCTCTGGTCTGAAGAAGTTTTACTTTTATTTTGTTTTTGGTTATTTGAAGATATTTAATCTCACTTTTTTAGTCTAGTCATTTACTCCCGGGTTATAGTCAAGTATAGCTCTTGCTTTCGATATTCAATTCTGGATTTTCTCTTTATCAAAATCTTTTTTGCATGAAAGTGTTGGACTTTTGGGAACGCAACAGATTTCAGACTATTGCTAACAGCTTTCAGCTGTCAAGGCCCAAAGGCCTAGAATCCCTCCCGTAAACTCCTCCAACTATTCACTTCTCTCTCTTGCTTTAGGATATTAACACCTAGCTCTTCGATCAAGTTTTTGATCACCTGTCCTAATGCTTCCTTCCTTGCCTCAATGCTAGTTTTTCATCTGATTATTCTCCTGTAAAGTTGCAACATCATATACACAAAAAATCATATAGACACATATACAAAAAAACTCACATGGAATTCTTAAATGTGAACACTCAAAGACAAAATACACATAAAACACTGCTAATATTGAGATATAAAAATATTCTTGAATGCACACGTCCCGGAAGGTCTCAAGATCTTCTACTACTGACCACAATCAAGGGAACTGTAAAGCATATGCATGCAAAATATAGCAAAGAACAATATCAGATTCAGACCTGATACTTCTTATTTTGGTATAGTCTTAACAGTTACATTTGAGGCTACTCCAACATCATGAAGATACCAAGAAACGGCATCACAATAGAAAGGGTATGATACCTTAGCTTTGCACAAAAACGAATACGAATCAGAGAACAAAAGGACAAAACGAACCAAGGTAGCAGGGTTTAATAGACAGCAAGACATCCACTCCAGGACATAGGTGGCACCCAAATATAGACAACAACTTGTAATAATATAGTGTGCTTACAACTTTGAAAAGTTTGGAGATGTTTCATAGGAAGGTGAACAATTAAAATTTGACTTCAAGCCATACAAAAAAGCATTCGATCAAATGACTAAAAGCTTGGACTAAAAGCAAGTTTTGAGAACAGCCCTAAAGGAGGAAAGTGTGAAAAGGTTTAAAAAGTAGGGAATTCCAGGGTTTAGAATTACAACAAGCAAATCCTCTTAATACTCTATTACATTCTATATATTTCATTCTTCTGAGAGAGAAGCCTGTCACTTGGGATAATATCACAATTCAAATCCAAAAATAATACTCCAAGCTTTTTCTTTGAAAGCACACAGTCATTTTCCAAGACATGCATATTCTATCAGGAAAACAGCCTACATACTATCTAATTCTGTAATGCACCATTTCATGTATTAAGCTTCAATTATTCTGGTTATTGGCATGATATCCATAAAATGCCAAATTTGGGGATCTCCTATGTTAGCCATGGCTTTACATTAAACTTACCTTTGAGACAGGTTTATGCTGGGCCAATGGGGTCCAAGGAGACAACAGGACCATAATCACATCCAGTGCACAGACAGCCCAATGAGACTCTGCCCTAAAATCTTACTGGCTTGCTCCACTCAAACCAAAGTGTGCTTCTGACTTCTAAATTCAGAATTGATGTGTGCAATCAGACTGAACTTACAAAATTCAAGATATGTACTGTTAGGTGTGATTCCACATCTGGACACCACTTGACAAACAATCCAGACTATGCTATTAGCTACACATAATCAGTATAAGATAATCAGTTGAGTTCATGACATGGCTTATTTACACTTGCTAGAAGAGAGTTCATATGCTGGGTCCCATTTTCTGCAAAATGAATATGTTCAAGCCTTGAGCCTTTTTTTTAAAAAACACCAAAGTATAGGGAAACCTAATGCTGTCTCTACGGCAATGCCTTGGCTCGAGTCAACTTTCCAACAAATTAGGACCCTTTTCTCCTACAGAATTAATTGTTGTGATTACTTGAAATGTGGCAAAATGATGTTTGTCTTGATAAGTAGAAGACAAAAAGTTTCTGCAATATACCTTGCCTTTCAGCAATATTCAAGTTTTGTACAACCAAGCAACTGTTTGTATACACCGCTGTTACACTTACCTAGTTCATCCTTGAACCCTATACAAAGGGCTAGATTTTTGCCAAACTGGGAAGATGTCATGGAACTTTCATAATGGAAGCTGGGAACCCAGATGCGAGATTAGGGACAAGGCATGATTCACACAAATGGGAACCCAAATTCAGCAGGGCCATCTGAAGTCAGTGCTAAGTTCAAACAGACCCCATTTTAGCTGTTGCAAGCGCCTTAGTCCAGTGTAGGAGTCACAAATTATTGTAGTAGATGCAGGTGCTATTGAAGGGCAGACAAATCTGTATAACTGTCCTGATTTGATGTTTTTGACTGACCACACTTTAAAATGTTATAAAACACAGGCTGCAACTGTCAAAGAGAGTTTCAAAAACTCTCTGCTTTGACCAACAGCCTTTCTGTTGTAGGTTAGGGGAAAAAAATTGTTTTTGTTAACGTTTGCCAAAGGACTATGATTACTTGCATTAATGTTCAACATAGCTTCAAAAGCTATAATTACAGAGTTCTTTGCGTTCACAGGATGATTTGAAGTTCAAAGAGACTATTACAGATTTCAGTATTTTTGTTATGAAATGTGAATTTGAAGTTTGCTTTTGTAACAGATTTAGGAGAGGTGATTTAGATCAGGTGAATTAAATGGTGATTTAAATGCTTTGAACAGATTTCATGAAGTAAGTTTCTTTATTCATTATCAAGTGTTAGAAAGTTGTGTAGAGTACTCAATTGGAAGGCAAGAAGCTAGAATTTGTTTGTAAAATAGTAGGGAGAAAGAGTGCATGGTTCCTTTAAGAGGTAAAGTGCTTTTCTAAGCTTAGAGATTTACACAGAAAAACATGGGTCTATAAGTAGCTGAAGCCGTACAGACAGTTCTGAAATTGAAACGTATCAATTTGGAAACCCTAGGCTTGTTCTGATGTTTTGGCAACTAGCTGGAATCAGCCAATTAATTTAAACCAAGCACTTAGCAATTGAAAACCAACTGAATTTAAATCTGATAGTTTTGACAACCTTGGACCAAAGCTACTGTAAGTAAGTTGCTCTGTCATTCGAGGTATATTAGGCCAGGGTTTTTGAAAATCAGTGCGAGAGCAAACCGACATCTGAGAAACAAACGGATAGCTCTCACAGAAATCTCTAAGCTCTAAGGAAGTACCATCTATCCATAAAAGGTACCACAGCACTTCTAGCTACAAGTTCTCACAGAGAAAACATCCCTGACAGCAGAATCAGCAAAGGAAAGGCGCTTATGACTGGAGGGACAGTGGAGAAGGCAGAGCATTCCAGAGGACACATTCTATGTGGACTTTGAGAGACTAAATTTTAAATTTTTTTTCTTATTACTTAAGTTATACAAGTTGAACTTGTGTTTATTAGAATAGCATACCAGAAAAATTTTGTTCAGTGAGGGAATAGTTAGGAGTCAGGGGGGAATTGTTTGGTTTTTAGTAGTTCTGTTAATTTGTTTACTGTTAGGGTTAAATAAATAAATTGTTACTTGTTAGTTATAAAGCAAATATCAGGGATTGTCTTTCATTTAGCCTCACCTCCTCCATAACACAAGCATGTATGACTACTTACTCCACCGTGTACCATAACCCAAACTCTGAAGCACATTGAAATGAGAAAACAGACCAATAGGTACCATGAAGGGACATAGGGGATGAGCAGTGGCATTGAATTGGTTTAGAAAGTAGCAAAATCAATGAGAGTGGAAAGTTAGGGCTCAAGAACCTAACAGTTTCTGAAACAACGAGGACAATATCCCAGCAAACAGAGGTGGGCCTTTCAAACAGCTGGCCTCAGCATCACTTAACCCCACTCCTATAAGCAGAAGCGGGACACTTTTTACCAAGGCAGATCTGCAAAATCAGGACATTTCTACCTACCGTGGCACCACAAATCTGGCCCCAGATGCTTCAATACGGCCATTCTTACAACAGATCTTTGAGTACCATCTAACTAGCCTGCAGTCTTTTGTCAGCCCCAATTCTTTCCTCTTTTCTCAACCCTCATTAGTATTTGGATTATTATGTGGCACATTACTATGTATAATTGGCTGCACAATTTTAACAATTCTTACCATACATGTATTTTGTATCCAATTTATTTGGGCCAGTTCTTGCCCATGGTAAAATATCATCGCTGCATCCATTTGGCATTCCATTGTATCCAATACCGACTATCTTGTTTTCAGGGTTCACGATGCAAGCACCAACCTGCATTTAAGTCAAATATTGATCATCATCATTCACAGTAGAACAGCATTTCGTGGATTTAATGTGATCTACATTTCACGTGCACTACAGCTTTGCCACTGGTTTAATAAACCAGTCTGTTCACACATTTATAATGCTATATTATGAACAGTATTTATTAGCATTCAGTAAAACAATCTTCTCTTTCCCTGGCAATAACATACTTTAATAAACATGAACGATGAAACTGACCTCAGTAAAAGTAATCATGAAACTGATGAACCCAGCTTGATCATTTATGTACCCACAGGAAAGATATCTGCTATCCTGATCATGCCTGGCCTACACGTCACTCCAGAACAATGTGACTAACTCTTAATTGACTTGTGAAATTGCCCAAAGCACTCAGTTCAAGGGCAGTTAGGGATGGCAAGAAATAACAGCAATATGCACATTCCATGAAGGAACAAATTAAAAAATATATAAATCATTTACTAACAAAATAGTTCTGTCTAGTTCAGAGTCCTATTAGGGAGGCAGTTGCATAATTTTGACGCAGCACTGAAGAATCAGCAATAATAGCTCGAAGTCAGGACAGTATGTGACTTGGAGGGAAACTTCCTGACAGCGATGTTCCAATGTATCTGCTCCCAGTATCCTGCAAGATAGTAGACATAGTAGGCTTTGAAGGTGCTGTCTACGGAGTCTGGGGTGTTCTTGCAGTGCGTCGTGTTGACGGTTACACACTGCTGAAATCTACCAGTCTGCCTTCATCAATCTTCTTTGTCACCTCTTCAAAAACCTCAAAGTTAGTGAGACACGATTTCCCACACACAAAGCCAAGTTGACTATCCCTAACCAGTCCTTGCCCTTCCGAAAGCATCCATCTGGTCCAGGTGATTTATCCACCTTCAGACCTTTCAGCTTCCCTGCACTTTCTCCTTCATGATGGCCACTTCGCTCACCTCTGTCCCCTAACTCTCGAAGTTCTGGTAAGTTGCTGGTGTCTTCTACTGTGAAAACTGATGCAAAGTATCTATTCAGTACATCCACTATTTCTTTCTTCCTCAGCAATACCTCTCCAGGTTTTGGAGTAGATCTGTAGCTCGGGTTGTGGGTGTTGAGGGTGGTTGGCTCACCGAGCTGGTTTGTTGTTTTGCAGACGTTTCATTACCATGCTTGATAACATCCTCAGTGCAGCCTCCAACGACCGCTGGGCATCAGAGTGGCACACAAGCCCACGTCAACCCTATGACAAGTGCTCACCCGAACTAAAGACCCACTCCCCGCCATGGACAGGACCAATGTCATCTACAAAATCCCCTGCAGAGACTGCGAGAAACACTATATCGGACAAACAGGAAGAAAACTAACAACAAGAGTACATGAACACCAACTGGCTACAAAAAGACACGACCAATATTCACTCATCTCAATCCACATGGACAAGGAGAACCACGACTTCGACTGGGACAACACCAAGATCCTGGGACAGGCTAGGCAGAGACAAGCACGAGAATTCCCGGAAGTATGGCATTCCACGAAGCATGCTAATAATAAACACATTGAACTCGACCCCATATACGTTCCACTACAAAGAAAAACCGGAAGTGAGGCAACCCATCTCAACGGACCCCAGAGTTTAAAATCCAGGCGGGAAAACACACCGATGCTTCATCGGAGGCTGCACTGAGGATGTTACAAAGCATAGTAATGAAATGTCTGCAAAACATCCCTCTCCAGCTTCATTGTCAAACAGTGCTCATTGTCAAGCAGTGCAATGTTCACTCCTGCCTTTCTCATCTTTATTTTATCCAAAAACCTCTTGTAATCCTCTTTTATGTCACTAACCAGCTTGTTCTCATATTCTGGCTTTTTTAAAAAAAAAACTTTATCCTCTGCTGGTTTTTAAAGGCTTCCCACTAATCTTCACCAAATTGTAAGCCTTCTCTTTTCTTTTATGCTGTCCCTGACTTCTCGTCAGCCATGGTTGCCTCGTATTCTCCTTGGTATGTTTCTTCTTCCTTGGGATGAATTTCTGCTGTGCTTCCCAAATTACCCTCAGAAACTCCTGCCATTGCTGCTCCATCATCTTCCTGCTAGGCTTCCCTTTCAATCTCCTCTGGGCCAACTCCTCCCTCATGTCTCTGTAGTTATCTTTACTCAATTGTAATACCATTACATCTGATTCCAGATTCTCCTTCTCAAACTGCAGGATGAATTCTGTCACTCTGCACTCTCAGTATTCCTTCACCGTGGCAGATGGAGTTTAACCCTGAAAAGTGTGAGGTGCTTCATTTTGGAAGGACAAACCTGAAAGCAGAATACAGGGTTAACGGAAAGATTCTTGGCAGTGTGGAGAAGCAGAGGGATCTTGGGGTTCATGTCCACAGTTCCCTGAAAGCTGCCACCCAGGAGGATAGAGTTGTTAAGGCAGCGTACGGTGTGTTAGCTTTCATTAATACAGGGATTGAGTTCAAGAGCTGTGAAGTTATGCTCCAGCTACACAAAACCCTGGTTCGGCCACACCTGGAGTATTGTGTCCAGATCTGGTCGCCTCATTACAGGAAAGATGTGGAAGCGTTGGAAAAGGTGCAGAGGAGGTTTACCAGGATGTTGCCTGGAATGGAGGGAAGGTCTTACGAGGAAAGGTTGAGAGAGCTAGGGCTTTTCTCTTTAGAACGACGAAGGATGAGAGGTGATTTGATAGAGGCGTACAAAATGATAGAGGTATAGATAGAGTGGATAGCCAGAGACTTTTTCCTAGGGTGGAGGCTGCTATTACGAGGGGGCAAAGTGAGTGGAGGTAGATATGGGGGGACGTCAGAGGTAGGTGCTTTACTCAGAGTGGTCGGGGCGTGGAATGCATTGCTGGAGAGGGTAGTGGAGTCGGCCTCATTCGGGGCATTTAAGCGGCTATTAGACAGGCATATGGATGATAGTATAAGGTAGGGGTGGAGGTTAGATAGACCTTAGGATTAGGGTAAAAGTTCGGCACAACATCGTTGGCCGAAGGGCCTGTACTGTGCTGTACTGTTCTGTGTTCTTTCTATGTAAGCTCCCTAATCAAGTCAGCCTCATTACACATCACCAAAATCAAAACCGCCTGTCCCTAAATGGCTCTACCGCAAGTTGCTCCAAAAATCCATCTCATAGACATTCTACAAATTTCTTTTCTTAAGATCCATTACAGACCAGTCCAGCTACATGATTATTGTAATAGTGCCTTTCTTACAACCTTTTCTACACCTGATTTATTTTCTTCCCCACATCCTGACAATTGCTAGGAGGCCTAGTCACAAATCCCATCAGGGTATTTTTTCCTTTTTAGTTCCTCAACTCTACTCTCACAGATTCTGTGCCTTCTGACTCTACATGACTTCTTGCTATCAATTTAATATAATTTAGTTTAATCTCTTTTCATTTCATTTCTTCCTAACAAAGCAACTCTGTCCCCTCTAGCCATCTGCCTGCCCTTACAATAGGACGTGTATCCTTGGATATTTAGTTCCCAGCCCTAATCCCCTTGCAGCCGCGTCTCTGTGATACCCACAACTTTGTATCTGTGAACTTCAATCTGCAGTACAATCTTGTTTTGTATACTGCATGCATTCAAATACAGCACCCTCAGTCCTGTGTTGACTGCCTCCTTCTCATTTTTGTCCTTTTATCTGCTGTGTCTGAAGTTAGATTCCTTATCCTTTTCGTACTCTGTCCTATTATTCGTTCTGGAAACTTTAATAACCTCTGCCTGAACCACCCTCACCCTTTAACTTTTTCCACAATTTTCCATGCAACTGAACCCACCCCCCTACCCACTATTTAGTATAAAGCCCAATCCACAGCTCTAGTTATGCGACTTGAGAGAACTCTGGTCCCAGCATAATTCAGGTGAAGCCCATCCCATCTGATCAGCTCTCTACTTCCCAAGTACTGATGCCAATGTCCCATGAATTCAAACCCATTCCTCTACCTGCCTCACTCTTAGTCACACCCTCCTGTTGATGACCTCTGACCAAATTCGAGGTGCTTAACCTGAGAAGTGTGATGGCTTCCTCAAATACAGCATCCATGTAACTCTGTCAATCCTGATGTGTCGCAGTGTTTGAAGCTCAGACTTCAGTTCAAACTCTGATCCAGGGATCCACAAGCAACCAAAACTGCAGATGTAGTCACGATGAACTACAACACAGTCCCCTCCAGCTACCACATCATGCAGGTACAATGCAGTGCCTTGTCCAGCCTCTCTATTTGCTTAGGTCTTAATTTAATTTTTAAAGATTTTATATAGTCTTTTAGCTTGTAGCCTGTAAATAATTCCCTTATTTACCTTCAATCTGAAAGTAATCTAATAGATAGTCAAACTAGTAGCTATCAATGAACTTATTTAAGATGCCCCTCTTTTGTGCTGGGCCCAAATTTATCCTGTAAAATAAAAAACCTTACAAACTATGAGCCAAGGAAGGTAGCAAAAAGCACCTCTTCTGTTCTGCACCAAATTCCCTGAACTATACAATCACTCAGGCTGGGGCGCACTCCCGATGTGATCTCTCCTTCCTGACCGTGCAAAGCTTACTCCACACAAAAATACTTAACTCTGTTTAAAAGATGCTCTTAAAACACTTTTCTTTTTAAACTGGACGGTACAGTTATTCCAGAGCCCGTGACTAAGACAGAATGGTAATTAATGGGATGGCCCAATTAGAATAAAAGATAATGACAGCAAAATTCCATGACATTGGATGGGATTAACTCATTTTGGTTTAATCAAATGGAATATCAACTGAAAGTGTAGACGAAACAAACCACTGACAGCTTTCACCTGGAGATGTGTGTGCCCATGCCTGTGAATTTTTGATCATTCAAAAGATCACCTGGAAGTCAAGAATTCATGGACTCATCTTTGGATAATATTGCAACACGAGGATGTTATTGTTACAGCCGAAGTAACCTGAGGCAATGCTTGTGAAAATGATCTGAAGAACAGACTCAGATATGCACACCTACTTGACAAAATGGCTACTGTTA